CTCTTTGGAACAGAAGCACCAGTTGGAGACACGATGACCTGTGGGAGGTCTCCGTGCCCCACACATCACATTCTCCTTTCCTTCTGGATGGCCAGGGCCATTTCTACACTAACTGAGCTGTATCATCGTCTTGAGATGATGACATTTACTGAAAACGGAGCCTGGCGCTAAACCGGATGTGGGCGGAGGGAGCCGGGTCACGGCGCAGCCCGCACAAGCCTCCCAACCAAGTAAGCGGCAAACAGCAGATGACCCAACGTTGTTGTTTTGCAGAGTAGTTAGTGCAACAAGGAAGTGGGGTGGGTGAGACAAATCAGAGGCTGGGCATGGAAATTCTAGTTTGAAATGTCTGTTCTTCTTGGCAATCGCTGCTCAAGTCCGGAATGGAACAGGTGTAAAAATCCGGTCCTATTCACGGGACATCCTGAACCCCATGGTGGAAGGATCCAAGCTGAAGATCCGAAACCCTCCCACCAGGGAAGGAGAAATCACCGCTGTTACACGCGCAGGAGCTCCTGGGCGCGCACACTTCCAGGGCACGGCTACAGCAGCCTCGCTCTGTGGGCGGTGACAGACGGGATGCAAGTCCGCCGAAGAATCCATCCTAGACACAGGTCTTCTGACATCCCCGTCCAGTATTCCTGCTGCCTCACGGGCGGTTCCCAGAGCCTGCTAATGCAGCAGTGCTCCCCCACCCCCGCATCACTGATTACAAGAGTGTGGGGGCATAGAGGCCCCTGAAATGACAAAAAGCACACCCAGTGCTGTGCTCCAGGTGCCCAAGGGCAAGGAGGTGACACAGCCAATATCTGCTAAACAGCTACGAACAAAAGAAGCTCTAAGATATACGGCCCGTAAACAAAATCCGAGGAGCCAAGGAAGCAAACTGCGCAAACAGGCTGGCGAGCCTTTGTGGGGGTTTTATCTACAGCTTGGGGCGGAGGTAGCATCTGAGCGCACGAGGAGAAACACAGATCTTTTTCCCAGGCACTTGCAGGGGGGCGGTCTGCTCCCGGGCTTACCTGTATGAAGCCCCATCCCCCACCAATTTAAGATTCTCACACGGTGGGTGGTAGTGAAGACAGGCCTTGGTCAGTTAGATACGAGGCAGGGGCATGAAAAATCACACAAGGGCGTTGCTTTTACTGAACTGAAGAGAATTTTGCTGGAACTTAGGGTGCAAGAGGAGAAAAGTAAAGAGAGGTGGGCAGGGCTGGACCCCACGGCAATGACCAGAAAGTGGAAGAACTGGACCACCAGCTCCAAAGCCGATGAACTCCACTGAAGATTTCCAAGTAGTGAGGGACATAAACACATGTACTGGCCATGTCTTTCGTTTCCTGATTTCTCATGCTTTACCGTCTGGGCTCTGGGTGACCCTGGAGGGACACTCTCCAGTTCCTAGAGACAGCAGACAACTCGGCCAAGCCCCGGATTGTACTTTTCAGATGTAAACCATCCAACTCAGAGCTCACACCCTGAACTGGCTTCTTTATCAGGTTCTCACACTCCAGGCTAGTACCTCATTCCACAGCTGGCATATCCAGGCACCAGGCAGCCAGGGATAGATGAGGCCCCAAGACCCACTTTAGTGCTTCAAACTAGCCAGTCTTAAGCCTGCTCAGCCAGCCTCGCCCATGCCGGTTCTGTCCATGTTTGAAAGTACGGTAAAGGCTCTCTCCCTGGGACTTCCCTCCTCTTGCACCCTAAGTTCCAGCACAATGGTGCCCCCCTTAGGGTTTCTCATCAATTCAGTAAAAGCAACATCCTTATGTGATTTTTTTTCATGCCCCTGCCTCGTATCTAACTAACCAAGGCCTGTCTCCAATACCACCTACTGTGTGAGCATCTTTAATTGGTGGGGGGTGGGGTTTCACACAGTTGAGACCAGGAGCAGACCTCTGCCCTGTAAGTGCCTGGTGCTTCCCGGTGTCCCCCTCCCCATCACATGGCATGCCCCCTTCTCTTGGGGTCTGTGGGTAACAAACTTTTCAGTGGCAGTAGCCTCCTGCACTGTTGGCCTGGCCACACCTGAGGAATGATACAATCTAGATTTTAAACGCAAAGCTGTGGATGAGGAAGGTCAGTTTTGCAGACGGTGAGTTCAGTGCGTCGGAGGGAACATAAGCCTGCGTAAGGGGAGAGCTCACTGGTGGTGATGAGGGAGGACGGAGGACAGGGGTGCTGGTTTGGAAGTCCTGGGAAGTTCACAGAGAGTAGGCTGGATAGAGACCCTCGGAGGTGGATGGGCCTGTCAAGTTAACAGTCACGCCCCCGCGTCACCATGAACTTCAGGTTGGTGATGCACTTTAACTGAAACATGCAAAGTTTTGGTGGCAGAACAAGATGGAAACACATTAGCAGGAGCAGCTAAAGGATGTTCAATTTAAATATAACCCTCCAAATGACATTCTTATGGAAATAGAAGAGTTTCATCTGCTTCCTTCTGGGTTTCAAAGCCCTCATCCTACGCCTGAGTCGTGAAGTCTAGCACTCCTCTCCCATCTCCCTTCCAGCTGGTGTTCACGTGGGCTGCTGTGAGGCGGGAGGCACCGCCACGTGTCAGCTGGCCCTGGGAATCCAGCTGTCATTCACAGTCTGCAGGCTCGGGATCAGGGTCTAATTTGGGGCTCTGCTGCTCTCCACACCATCAGTGGCCACCTCTTGATATGGGTCTTGGGTGTTTGCTGAGGTGGCTTGGGTGGACGGGGGATGGAGGGCTTAGGGAGCAGAGGGAGAAAAAGCAGGAGTGCTTAAACCCACATCTGCTGCGTGTGCTGTGCCTTCTACAGCCAGGGCACCGTTACACCCGTGGGGACACTGGTCAGTATCCCGTTTCATTCTCCCGCAGAGAAGGAAGAGGCAGAGGAAGGAATGGTGATGGGACAGGTACAAGCCCCCTCTGCTCTCATGTGCTGCTGGGGGGCAGCTAAAGGGAGGCTGCACCATCAGGGGACCATGGGGCTGACTCTGGGGGGTGCAGTGGGGAGCACTGTGCCCATGAACAGTCAGCGTGCTCTAACCCACAGCAGGTGCCAGGCGATGTGTTCTCTCAGCTCACTGCAACACAAGGCAGGGGTTATGGCTAGTCTCAGGAATGTCTCAAGGAAGTAACGTTTAGAGAGCTCAAATAATTGGCCTCCCCGCCCCCTACTCCACTGAACACAAGGAACCATAGGAAGTGGGATGTGAAGCTGGAGTGGCTCTCAGCCTCACAGCTCTGGGGCGAGATTCTCTGAAGCACACAAACACACACACATACACACACACACACAAAGCATCTGGTGGCGGAGACCTGCAAGGACGCCCTGGAGAGTGGAGAATGTGGCCATGTGCAGGAACATGTTTTTGAAGGGGAGCCATAAGGACTAAGCACCACTAAAGCCCTCATCCCTGCAGACACTGAGCTGAGCTGCTACGAAGGCAGACGCCTTGGGAAGGTCTGTTTCCTCCAACAGGTCCCAGACAAGTTGCTGGTTTTCACATCGGGAATGATGTGGCCTGGACCACACAGCACAGCCATGAGGAGATGCACTTTGTGTGGGGTGGAGAGTCTTCCAGGATTGGAATTCTGAGGCTGTAAAAGCTCCAGGAATTCACAGAGATCTAGATGGCAGTGGGCTAGGGGTGGAAGGCGGGAGACCCTGGGCTCCTCAGGAAATGTAAGGTGGAGGTAGACTCAGGCGACTCCTGGAGGAAACACGCTGTGAGAAGGAGCAGGGAGATGAGGCAGGGCTGCAGGGGGTGGAGCCCTGTGCCACTGGGGCAGGAGACCCTGAAATGAGACACACAGCAGTGCTGCTCACAGACTCAGTCCCCCACTGATTTGATGAGCCCCAGGATGGCACAAGCAGAGGAAAAGGTGGAGAAAGGGGTGGCCCTGTCAGAGCAGGCAGGTAGCTAGATATGAGCAGAGAAGGGGGGACTCAGGCCAAATGGCAGGAATTGGGCAGAAAGGAGGGGACAGAGCCAAATGCAAGAAACCCTACGTCATGTAAACACCAGGGGTCCCTGGGCAGAGAAAGAAAAGCAGGGACCACTGGGCTGATAAGCGGTCACACATTTTGGGGTGACAAGTGACCTAGAGGCTGACAAAGAAAGGTGGGAAAAGGCAGGGATCACCAGCATCCAAAAGTAACCTTTTGTTCATTATGCCCTCATTGCAATAAAATTAGGCTGGCAGATCATAAGTACCCATCATGCACCAACACCATAACACTTCTGATTCA